GGGGGGGGGGGGGGGCCGGGGGGGGGGGGGGGGCACGGCTTACACGGGGAGCGCCTGGGAACGGGGGGGCGCGGGGGGCACGGCTTAAATGGGGAGCGATTAGCGGCGGGCAGAGGTTAAACGGCGGCGCCCCGGCGGCAGCCCCGCGGGACCACCCCGGCGCTGCCCCCGCCCGCCGGCCCGGGCGCGCTCCGGGTGCGCGGCGCCCGCTCCGCTCCTCCCCCGGTGCGGCTGCCCCGTGTCTCCGCCTGTCCCGGGCCGTTCGGTCGGCAGGAAAAAAAATCTGAGAAAAGCCCCAAATAATAATAAAAAAAGAAGCCCCCAATGACAGGAGCTCCCCGCCGGTAAATCCCGGTGGATGCTCCTCAAAGTTCGCAGCGCGGGCGCGGTGCGCCGCCGGTGCGCGCCTGGCGGGTGGGCTGCAGGGCAAAACAGGGGAAAAAAGGAGAAAAAGGAGCGAGGGGTCGCGGGAAGGGGAGGGGGGGGGGAGGGGGGAGAAAAACGTGAGAAAAGGGAAAAGAATGGGGGGAAAAGGCGCGTGCGGTGGCCGGGACCCCCCCGCGGGAGGAGCGGGGGGAGCGCGGAGCCCCCGGCGCGCTCGGGCCCGGCGGGCAGAGCTCCGCACCCGCGGAGCCCCGGCGGGGCGGGCAGAGGCGCAGCCCCGGGACCCCCGACCCGCTCCCGAGTTCCAAAATGACCTTTCCCTGCATCGTTTTGGAGGTAACCGAGCTGCGTAATTATATTTGCACTTCCAGAAGACTGCATCAGAGTCCCCTTATTGGTTTGAAATTCCATTAAATATATTGCAAGAGCTCCTAGGTTAAGCTTGATTTAAATTTGCATACATTTTCATATATTTAGCAGAAATAAAAGAAGGCTTGCAGCTACCAGAAAGTCATTAAGGCATTAGTTTCTCTGAGAAGACAGATCTGAAGAAAATTCAAGAAAATGAGAAAATAGATCTAAATAAGGTGAGCGCTCCTCCGGTTCCTTCCGAGCCGGGTCCCATCGCTTTCCTCATTATAATAATAATAATCACAATAATTTCTCGCCGGGGCAGCGTGTGAGAGGGGTAAAGGCAGGGCTGGGTGGTGAGGAGCAGAGCGGGCTGGGGCAAATCGCGATATATCGGGGACTCCGCGGGTCCCCGCCGGGCGAGCGCTGCGCTGCGCACCCGCGGGGGTGCGGGGAGGGGGGGCGGCGACTCGGAAAATAAACCAAAAAGAAGGAAAAGTAAATAAAAAAATGAAGTTTGCGGGTAGAGTGGCGGCGGTGGGGGGGGGGGGTGGGGGGGGGGG